CACAAATCAACTAGCATGACGGCCTGAAACACACGATTTAGCCGTTTACTATCTTTCCACGAACCAGCGCACTTCACAATAAAATACTACGTCTTCGTGTTAGGACTCTATTTCTGACGGAAAATCTTTGAGAGTTCTATGATCGATTGCCTTGTGATTTGATGACATTTACAGTGCACAATTATCAGCACGTGGTCCAGATTCAAAACCTTGCCACAAAGATTTTTTAGCTGAATGATGCAATGAGGCCATAGAGGTTTGACTTAACAAAAACTTTTCTAATAATTTTTCCAGTGACATGCAATCATATTTCTGGTGCCATCATTAGTCACTCCGACTAATTTATCCCAAGGTAGAGAAAAATCCTGTATCATGGTTGAAACTTCTTGGAACAGGTCTTTTCTGGTGGTGATCCCATGTATGCTTCTCATAGCTGCTAACTTCTCTGTGAGTTCAAAATAGCTGTTTGTACCGAGAATACCAAAAGGTACGAGGTACCAGATAATTCAAAATCTGCTGCTCTATCTTTTAGTTTTGAAGGGAGATTTGTACCCATAATTTCCACTCGCCTTGTAATTGTCATGCGAGAAAGTCTGACGGCTTCAAGTGCATTTTTCTTTTCAGGACTAATTTCTTTCATCACTGATTCCAGTACCTTTATTCAACTCATACCTTACTGGAACCTGTGTGGACTATACCTGGACACGTTTCGAAAATGGATTTAAAGATTTTTCTAGACATTTGACAGTAATGTATATCGTTGGGAAAGGAATTACTAGCTCGTTGGCCACACTGAGAAAATCCTGGTTTGACTAAAAAAAAATTAATTTGTCTAAAGAACGAGATCATATTTATCGCATGGGCGTACTACTAGCCAGGATTTTTTTTCGGGGGGGGGGGGGGGGAATTTTTTTCTTCCCCCCCCCCCTCCTTACCGAGAAAAAAAAAATACTATGTATATGTGTGTGTGTACATGATCTGTATTACATTCTGGCCCTTCATTCTTTCGAAAGATGTTTATTATGCCCTACAATGTTTCTTCCTGGAGATAGTGGAAAAATTGAAGACTCCCCGCTACTGACAGCAATGGGGTCTGGGGGAGCGCTTGGTGCTCCCCCAGAGCGGGGCGAAGCCCCGTTGCCAAGCACTATTTCTGTATTGAAAGCCAACAAAATGAATGTTCTGAGGTACCTACAGTAAATTTTCCTGCTATTAAAAAGTTTTATTTCAAAAACCTCAAATGCTATTCTCACTGCCTCACTGGCGCTAAGTTGTACTAGGATGTCATCGCAACCCTTAAGTATGCGTAATTCATTTTGTCGGAGAACATATCCCGCACACCTCATGCGACGTTCTGTCACAACCTTACTAAGGGGTCGACTCCCAATTCGGCATAGGATTTCCTTGATTTAGACCCGATCTCTATAACTGACTCCTAAAATCTATCTTAGCCATCTCTGTTGAGCCACATTTAGTGTTTTTCAATTTCGACAGTTGACTTTTCAAAGCACTTTAATGGAGCCCCGCCACTGGTAGAAATGTGTAACCTCTCTTGAATACGCTCTTGGAATTAGGTGACTGTAGTTTGCTTTAGATTTTATATCGAAAAGGGAAGTTTTATCGTCAAAATCATCTGTTATGGATTTTTAAACTAAAAAATCTCTGGAGTTGTTTTTTTTTTTTAAATTCAAAGTCCCATTTAGCTACGGTCTTAGTATTTGGTAACTGTAATTTGCTTTAGAAATTTTTTTAAACTCAAAACCATCTGGAGGGGTTTTAAACTTTTAAGAAAAGCAAACTGTAGGAAAGGGGTTTAAACTCAAAACCCCCAATTGGCTCAAATAATTTGTGTGTGTAATTTGCTTTTTTTTTATATTAAAGAGGTATTTTTTTTAGCATCAAATCCCGCTGAAAGGGGGTTTAAACTCAAAACCTCTTTTGGCAACTCTCATAGCATTTTGCGTCCGTTTTTAATATCAAAGAGTTATTTTTTTAGCTTCAAACTCCACTGGAGGGGAGTTTAAACTCAAAACCCCTTTGACTACACTCATAGAATTTTGAGTGTGTAATTTGCTTTTTTTATATTGACTAGGGGGTTATAAAATCAAAATCTTCCTGAACTGTGCTCTTGGAATTGGGGGATAGTCGTTTGTTTTGTTTTGTTTTGTTTTGTTATTAGAAGAGCGAGGGATTTAACTGCAAAAAAAAACCTGCTATGGGGTTTTAAACTCAAAACCCGCTGGTAGGGAGTTTTAAACTCAAAACCCCCTGATAGGGGATTTTAAACTCAAAACCCCTTGGCTGCGCTGGGTCAAGTGATGGCATAGTATTAAAATGTCACCAAAATAAAACAAAATCAAAGCAAAAAATCAATGACTGAATTCCTATCCCCCCCCCCCCATTGGGGGGGGGATTTCATTTCGGAAGGGGGGGGGGGGGGTTTGAACCCCAAAGCCCCCCCCCCCTGGCTACGCCCATGATCTTGAACGGGTGTTTCCAAATGCTAGTATTATTCATTCTAGAGTTTAACACTATTTATAAATCTTATGGTCCGACATTACGCTAGGCAGTGCACGTATCCCGTATGGTGCCAACGTATACCAAAAGCAATCTTTTTTTATGGTGAGCTGAAAGAGGTGCCCCACAGACACGCTTTAAAGATCAGCTTAGGCACCAACTTGCTTTAACTGACATAGTAGAAAGCACCTGGTTGCAGGCGGCTTCAGTAAGAGACAGCTAGATGTCACTTACAAAGGCCGCGGGATACACATTCGAGACCAAAAGAAAATCGGCTGCCGAGGACAGACGTAGACGGCGAAAATAAAATCTAAATCGACCACCGCAAGAAACTGGTTATGCCTGCGCTAGTTGTGGCAAAATATGTCATGTAATTGGGGCTCTGCGTAATCACGGGGAAATATATAATGTAATTGGGGGCTGCGTAACCACGGGGGGAATATCCTCATTAATCTTCGGACTAAAAGACAAGCCTTATTATTATTTTAAATTAATGTTCAGGAACATTTTGCATCTTCTTCTATATCTAGGATTTCAAGGCCAATCATTGGAATATTATAAAGTTTAGTCGATTTATGCATCAAGTGTTCTAGCGAACAAAAAACCGTCACTCTGTAAGTATAGCAAAAACAACAACATAATCAATAGTAACACATTTCGATTCTTCAATTAAAAAAAAAAAAGAAGGGGGGGGGTAAATGTGTTTAAAGTGTAACACTAAATACTTATAATGCTAGAATAACACTATTGGTGAAGACATTAAACTTAGACACTATAAGACAAAAGTCTCATATATAAGTACAAATAGTACACTAAACCACATCTCACAGATACACTATTTGTAATGTTCAGATAAACAAAAAAAGACAGAAAAGGCATTTTTAAAATTTCGTTTGCTAGGATTAATTTATATAAGACCTTTTTTTTTTTTTTTTTTGAAGTGCTATTACACTGAATGCGGTTGCACAAATAGGCCAAGAAAATCCTGTCTCATAGTTGACCTCGTGTGGAAACGGTCTTAATTAAGAATATTATGCTAAATGGGCTAAAAAACAAGACTTGCCAACAATCCATGCACAGTTCCTCAAAGCCGTTTCAAAAATGGCGAGTTTAGCTTGCTAAAGAGAAGGAAAAGGCTAAGGTCCCCGGTGTACTCGGCCTTCGGCCACGTTCTAGTCCGTGAGTCCGGAGCGTCTGAATCACTAGACTAACCTGAACCTCTTCCAGACAGAACAGCGGACTAGAGTTTCAAGAGCCTTCAGCTTAACTCCACCTGTCAGTTTCCAATGACAGTAGGAATATTCTAACAGAATGACCAAATGATCTGAAGCCATAAAGATATCAGGAATCATAGATCTGTTGGGTTTTAGCAAACATGTACTCACCAATAATACTTTCATTGCAATTAAGATAGCTCTTAAATACCTTACCTTTAATAATCCTGTACCCTAACTGGTCTAAAGTAGTTCCATAATTTAGTATAGTACCTCCCTTGCATAGTCAATGTATTAAGCCAGTGATGCCCTAAATACGGCCTGCGGGCCAGATCCGACCCGCCAAAACCTTGGCACTAAGTGGCGAAAATCCCTCCTCCAAAAAGAAAAAAAAGTTGAAAAATGTACCTTGACCTACTTTAGAGCTCTCTTATTTTCTGTGATGGATTGGTACCATGACCTTTAACATTTGTGCGTTTATGGACTCGAACTTTTCGTGTAGAAGCTGCCAGAAAAATTAAACGGATCTTTACTTTTTTTTTTTTTTTGGAACATAATAATAAGTCAACATCTTTGTTTTATAAAGAAAGTGTGGATGTTTAAAAAACTACAAAATATATATCGGCATTATAAAAAAAAATATGGCTGCATCCTAAATTTGAATCACGGATAAAAGATTGATTAACTACGGCCTAGAGATTGAAGGATCGATGGTAATACAAACCAAAAAGAGACAAGAAAAGCACCTACACTGTTGCTAACATTTTAAGTAGAGAAATGAAGCTATTTATGAGTGTGTTTCTGATATTTTTTAAATGGTTAACTTGTGTGTGTGTTTTTTAGTAGTGTAATATTTTTTTTTTTATATTCCTGGGTTTCAAAACCCTTGCACTTCAATTATTTCTAACGATGAAAAAAGGTGGTTAACTCATGAAAATTGCACTGAAAAAAAAATAATTTTTTATTTCCCTTGTTTTCTTCAGCATTTCATAATTAAAATATATGAATGCATACTAGTTAATTAATGCACAAAACAAGTTTTAAATAAGAAACAGACTCTGTATCAATATTTGCTTTATTTTTTTTTCTTTATTTCATCACAACATTCCATTTTTGTGTGTGTGCAGTGTTTATATATGTACATTTATTATTAATTATTATAATTTTTGAAAAAAATATATATTTGTACATGTACATAAAATCCTAGAATAATTCCACCAAATCACAGAAAACAAAATCAGTCTTTTATTTGTCAAGAGACAAATTTTAATTTTTTTGTCATCCAAGTGGAAAATTCAAAGAATATTGATAGAATGTTGATGAAATACTGTCATTTTATAAATATCACATGCTGCACTGAACAGTATCACATTCAACGGTAGACAACTCTTAAAACAATAAACTAGGCTTTTTAAATACACAGTTACAACCCTTTGGTATACATATACACATTTTTTATAGCATAAATGCAAAGGGGAAATATCCCCCATTTAATTTTTTTTTCACTAGAGGGGCATTCAGCTGCCCGCTACAACGCACTTGGTTAAATATATATCTAGTTTGTACGAACTCATTCAGTCACTTTCTCTCTCTTTGTCCATTTCTCTCTCCCAATCTTTCCATCTAATCTGTTTGTTCTCTCTCTGTCTCTCTCTCTGTATGTATATAGTTTATAATTGTATCACAATTGTTTAACAAGCAAAACTTTCATGCTACCAAATAATGATGTCAGGCTTAAACACGGGTACCTTTCAGTAGCGTCTGTAGTACATTTTGTGTCATTTGTGGTGTGGCGTGTGGTATTATGAGTGGTGTCTTGTTTGATGGGGTTTGAAGTGTCATTTGTGCTGTGGTGGTTTATGATTGGTGTGATGTGTGGTATTGTGACATGTGGTGATTAGGTGTCATGTGTTGTGTTATATGTGGTAACATCTGTGATATGTGGTGTTATGTTTGGTGTCATGTGTGGTGTGGTCTTATGTGTGGTGTGTAGATTTTTTTTCTGGTGTGGTGTTGAGTGTGACATAAGGAGTTTGTGGTGTTGTGTTAAGTTAAGTGAGCTATAATGTGTTGTTTTGGTTTGGTGTCATGTGTGATGTTATGTGTAAAGTTATGTGAGCTATAATGTGTTGTTTTGGTGTGGTGTCATGTGTAGTGTCATGTGTGATGTTATGTGTGAAGTTATATATAATATAATGTATTGTTTTGGTGTGGTGTCATGTGTGGTGTCATTGTGGTATCTTGTGTTACGTTTTTTGTCACTAGTGATATGTGTTGTGGAGTTTTGTGTATTATTAAACTGTACATATTTAACACAATACATATCACTAACAAGTTTTTTACTGTCGGGTGTTTCTTATCTTATCTTATAAAATACAGACGTTACTTCAAAAAAGAAGATAATTACGCCCTACGCGTATTCCTAGATCAAATTAGTCATACATGTTAACCAAGTCATTTGTTTTCCTGGCTAACTCCATTACTAGAAGTGTCATCGACAAGTTTGTCACTAAGTGATTCATCCCATGCAATGACATTTACTGCATGTCTTTTACTGACAAAGAATACCGCTGTACTCAGAGAATGAGACAATCAAGTTTGGTGACTGAAGACTGTAGTCACTCTTGGCCCAACATAGTTTGACCAGGTTACAAAGTTAGACCCTAAGTTTCTCACGTCAGAAGTTCGTCCCAGAAAATATCATCCAAGTCCTGGTGCTATAGTATTGTATCTATGAACCAAAAGCTAAAAGACATAGTCAATAGGGAAAAGTAAGAATGTAAACAAACGTCTTGCCTGCAATTTGACATAGAAAAGTAAATACGGTCAGAAATTTTTTTAGCAGTCTTGTCTTGTGATGACCAAATAGTCTAAAAAGAGGAATAGCTAATGACTAATTGCTAACTTTTGTAGACAAGTTTTACTAAATTATTATTTTTTTATCAGAAAATGTTGATCTACTTGGTTTTGTTAGACATTTTTAACATTCTTATTTTTCATTAATGAATTTCTTTTTTAAAATTTAGCTTCCGAGTGATCTTTGATTCTACCTTTGACTGTAGTCTTTGTTTCAAACTCTGGCTTGTTTGTTTTCTTTGATTCTACAACTCACTGGTTTGTGATCTTTGATTCTAACACTGATCTGTCAATTTTACAACTTTGATTCACTCATAGTCTCTACATTTCACCTTTGATATTGGCAGGATCCATGGAATACAATTGCTTGTCATTATCGATGGATGTACATTCCATTTTTTGTTTTCTATTTGGCTTGTTTCATGAATTGTATCCATGAATAATCATTGACGCACTTATTTGTAGCTGCATACATTGCAACTCTATTGATCTAGTCTTGATCTGGTCATGGTTTTAAACTGAAAATTTCTATAAGAACTTCATTCCAGTATAACCTGAATTTTCAACTAGCCAAATGTGATCAAAACCTCAAAGTTACAGACGAATTCTTGGTGTCAGCGGTTACATAGGAAAAAATGGGGAGAGAATCCAAACAATTATTCCAGACACGAAAAGCAAGCCCAGAACAAACATAATCCTCAGCTGGACATTCTGAGTACAGGTTTTGCTGGTCCCTTCGGCGGCGCTGTCATTCAACAGTTTGGCTGATGGGTCAGTTTTGTCCGTGGTTTGCGAGTCCATCCGGTAAAAGCTTGAGCTGCTAAGCTGATGGTTAGATGCGTCCATCCCAGACCTGTCTTTCGTGTCCCAGTCCTTGTCTGTTCTGTTGAAGTCATGAAGACTGCGTCTGAAGAAAAAAGAAAATAAAAATAATCAGCCTAGGGAACGTCTGGGTGAAATATAAACGAGTGGAAACAGATTCTCACGACCAATCCTAAGTTTGATAAAAAAAAAAAAACACTTTTCCTTTTTCAAGAAAGAATTCTGTTCGGTTGTAGAGTTTTCGGTGTAAAAAATGACTTCCATAAAAATAAGAATGAGTATTTCTAGAGTTATCAGCCATTGTAAAGTTATTGGCCCTAGTACTGTCCAGAGAAGACAACTAATGCTCAAGATTCAAAATTTGATCTAGATGTACTTAGTAGAATAGAGAAAGAAATTTAGAAACAGATTTGGATGCTCAGAGATATAATGGTCTGATTACTGGGACTTTTTTTTTATTAAAGTAAATATTGGATGTGGTAAATATTAAATACCAGGAGAAAAATGTGTTGTACAAGTCAGCACTCTAGTTGGTAAAAAGGGAAACAAATCTTATACCAGGAAAAGACGTAAGCTGAGCTGGTTAGGTTATAGTGTAGAGTACGACTCATTTTCTAAAGTCAATCTTCTATGTAGAGTGGAGGAAAAAGGGTTGTACAAAGAAAAGTTGGCTTGACAACGTGAATGTATGGACCAGCGTCTCTCTTGATGAACAGCTTCTGATCGAAATATAGAAATGAGATTTGGTTGTTCGAACTGTCACATCACTTCCGTAACGGGAGACGTGGGATAGATGAGATGAGAAACAATAGGAACAAAAAAATAAAAGAAACAAACTAGAGTTCGTTAGTTCAACGTGTTCCATCGAAAGTCCCTGAAAGAATTAAGTAGATAAGTTCTCCTTCAGATCTTGCGACCCATGGGTACATTACCCGGTAGATGATGTAAAAACTCAATCATCTCTATTGCGGACAGTTAACGAGTGTGTTATAGGGCAATGAAATACCACCTTATCTTCTCTAAACTAATGTCAAATGGGTAAACTCTGATGTGAATTATATGTCTCACTAAGCAACGAATCAATCATAATCTATATTTACAATTTTGATTTTTAAAATAGATGTCAAGAATTAGGAATATCATTTTAAGCTTGAATTGGCAAAAAACCCAAAAGGAAATGGGGCGTGGCTGTCGAAAACGGCTTGTTTCATTTCGGGCACAAAGAGTTAAAGTTGTACTATTGTAGTTTACTCCTTACCAACCCTGCACTTACAGTGAAAATTTGTTCCCATGTTGCCAGGTGTGACGAGGCTCACATTTTTCGACACTAAAGGCAGTGAAGCCCCAGGTCACCATGTGCTGGTCCCCGGATGTCACTGGAATGTTGTACTCTACATGGGTAGTAGCGGAAATGATTCTTGACAGCTGGCTGGGCTGATCGTCAGGACCGACGCCATCTTGACCCATTAACATGATTGTGTTTGTCTTAGACTCAAACGCGTCCAAGGGGCGCCCGTCGGAGTAGGCGGACGGAGTAGGCGTAACCAGCGGTTCCACCTCATGAATTGTGGGTAGGGTTGAAAGGAACAGCGAGTGGCAGCTCTCCCGCCTGACGCGGGGAGGCGCTGGACGGGCTGGATTCCCTACAGAGAAGTTGGCATCGTTATTCTCCATGACGGAGTTCTTTGCGGTGATGTCTCTTTCAGCTTCGTTCCATTGGTTGATGACTGTGTTTAGATTGTTTAATAGGCGTGGAGCCAGTCTCCGAGGCTTGAAGAACTTATAGATGCAAACACAGCTACGCCTCAAGAAGCACCATCTATCGTATGCATTAGAAGATTCTTACACTAAGAACAGTAAAAGGAGATTCTCTCACTAAGATCAGTAAAAAGAGATTCTCTCACTAAGATCAGTAAAAAGAGATTCTCTCACTAAGATCTGTAAAAGTGATTCTTTCACTAAGATCTGTAAAAAAGAGATTCTCTCACTAAGATCTGTATTACAAGGTCCTCACACTAAGCTTCAAATATAAGAGACGAGCTGCCTATAAAAGGGCTCTCAGTATTATCTCAAGTTTCCGAGCAGTCAACTTGTTCTTCTTGTTACCTTCTGGCCTGAACTGACCTCATCAGTTAGCAAGTCAAAGAGACCGAACAAGGTTTGCAGCCAAATGAACGCCAAGCTAGTTATTCATCCTGTTTGCCAGCAATTCTGTTTTAGGATGGAAAAAAAAAAGATATTGGTAAAACAAAACTTTGACGAGTTGATGAATTGTAATAATTATCAGATCATTATTAACTTTTTATTAAAGCAGGTCACGTGACAGGCAAGGGTTTGCTCAATTTTATTTTGAGCATAACTCGACAAAAAGAGTTTAACCTGCAAGAGTAGAACAGCATAACAGGAACACACAATGTCTATCAGCAAGGGGCTTTTTGTTTAGCACAGTTTTAATAATGAATTATTTGTGTGTATATAGAATTACTAGCATTCCTCACAGGTAACGCCCGTTGATTTGTTCCGAGGCTAGATATTGTTTAATTTGGCCGGAATATCCCTTTCCTTTTCCAGTACCCAACATGACACATCTTCTTAAGTTATCTACTTGTACTAAACAAGTAATGAAATAGATTTTTTGACTATGTATGTGAGTATTTGTCACTTTTGATTATGTGACTATTTGTCACGCTTGATTATGTGACAGTAATGACTCTATCATCTCATCTGTCCCATGACTTTCGTCCAAGGGGTGCTGTGACAGTTCGCGTAACCAAATCCCTCCACTTTTCCCGGTCAGCAGCTGTTAGCAGGATATCAAGAGAGAGGCCGGTCCATTCTTTTATGTTATCCAGCCAGCTTTTCTTTGGATGACTTTTTGTTCGTGACCCCTACACTGTACTTTGAAGGATGACTTTTGACAGTGAGTCAAGTATTACAATATGACCAAATCATACTACTGTTTATGTTAATGTCAGGCTATGTGGATAAATACGAGACTATGTGTACGAGGTTATCTGACCGTGCGTGATGATACGAGACTACAACGTGCCATAATACGAGAAAGTCTATTTGATTGTCTTTTCAATGAATTCAATGATTTGGATTGTTTAAATTCAGAACTTAGTTTCCATTCTTCTAAAATATTTGTTTCTGTTTTTATTTTAAAATTATTATTTTATATGTTGCCATGTCGTGAAAGAAATGTTTCTTTTAAGTCCGTTTAGGAAATTCGCAAAAATAGAAACGATATTTCTTTACAGCTTTGGTCTTCCAAAAGTTCAACTCTAGAGATCTATAGTCGTAAGACAGTGTAGGGATCAATAATCTATTCTAGCAAAATATAAATTAAAACAATCGTGTAGGAAGCAAGTCTAAGGATTGTCAATGAAATAATTGTGTTACAAATATTGGTCTCATTTTTTTAAGTTCAAAATAAAAACTACTTACACAACCAATTCT